CTGGGTGTCAGGTTTTTGGGTTGTCCCCCGAGTATTGTCCCTTCGGAAAGGCTGTTCAGCACACCCACTGAGAACGGTAGCTTTGGCCAGTCCAGGCTCATGATGGAACATTTTGAAAAACTTATCTTTTTGAAAGTGAATCTTCCATTAATATATTTTCAGTATTGAAATCACAATGGAGCCACCAGGCTAAAGATGTTGTTGCTCATTAGGCACCAGCTGTTTGTCACAGGCTGTTGTTTGGCACCAGTTGGTGCCAAGGGGGACATCAGACCGGGCACTCTCAGGTCCACACTGAGTTTCTCTTGAAGTCTCACCATAATGTCTATATGTGCCTTACTCCTAGTCCTTCAAGCCAGGTACCACGGTGTGTTTTTTACAAAGCCACTGGAAATAGCCTGTCTTGTTAATTATGAAACAGGATGATTAGGTTTTAACCCATAACTATAAAGTTTTCTAAAAACTGGGAGTTGACCTTTTTCTTCTGGGAACTCTCCCATGCCTTTCCCTTCTTCCTCCTCATCCCTCTCAGGCGTGCATCTCCTAAACCCTAAGGGACCCCCTGAGGCTTTTAGATAGGAGAGTGGTGGGCAGCAGCAGCGAATCCAGGTTGGCACCTGATCCTGTCTCCAAGGCCACCCTGTTTCTCTGACTTCCCAGTGCTGCAGTAGCCCCCGCCTAGTCTCTTTCTGTTGCTCCTTCTCTTCAAATCCTTCCATGTTTCACTGTTCCCAGCTTTAAGAAACTATTAAAATAAAAAGCGGGGGTTAGTAATTCATTTTACCAGAAGACAGGGTAGATTTAAACACTTTTATTCTGTAGCCTTTATATTTAATTATGTAAGAACAAATCAGGTACTGTATTTTAGTTAAAAATTGCTTTAGTTGCATCAAAACAGCTCTTGTGGCTGTCAAATAAAATCTGGAAATAGGTGGAGTAGAAGCCATCCTGACTGAGTGGTTTTTACCTGTAGCGCTATACGTATGTGAGGAGTGCAGAGAATATTCTGGAAGGTACTGTTCGCTACCACAGAGATGTGGCATTTGAAGACAAAGCTGAACAAAAGTATCATGGAATGTCAGTTACATGGTGGTTGGTAAGGAGAACGTCCCCATGTTCTGGTTTTGTGCTGAGGTTACACATGGTGTTAACTCGGGGACATCCAGATTATTTATAACGTGCTCCTTGCTGCCTGTTGTCCTGCCAGTGGACCACATGACATGTTTATAGCAGTTCTGGTGATTGAACCTCCAAGCCTCTGACTTAGTGTCTCTACACTTTGAAGCTGTCTTTTGAAATGTATGTAGTGCCCCCCAATTTGATCAAAATACGTGTAAAATTATTTGTAGAAGAGGTGGTTTATTAACAGGGAAGAATGTTATGTTACAGTTGTAAGAATAGCCTTAGGTGTTTAGCTTTTCCGTATAATACGGAAGACTCGGCCATCACGGGTATTTTAGAATCCCAGGGACATCAGAATGAAGTGTCAGTTGTCAGATTCTTTTAATATGTCTTCAGAATTTTTCAACATAAAGAAAAGGGTTCATTTTCTTATTTCACACCAAATAAATATTCTGGGTGAAATAAATCATTCATTGCCTGTGCCATTTTAGAAAAGTTGTTTCCTCAAAATACTGTACCTGTTATTAATCTCACTTTGCACTGACTATGTTTTGGTATATTTATAAATGGGGAACTCAGTTTCTGAAACTAAACTTATTTGCCATTTTCTACTGGAAATTTGAGCACGCTGGCTTTTTCTTAGGATGATAAAGGTTAGGATGCCATGGTTGTGAATTTGATCTCCATAAGGGCACATTCAGGAAGCAAACAGTGAATGAATAAATAAGTGGAACAAATCAATGTTTCGTTCTTCCTCTCTTTTACTTCTTCTCTCCATTATCAATAAATTAAAAAAAAAAATCTTACGCCCAGACAACATTCCCCTCCCACCCCCGCCCCCACCACCACCATGTCACTAAAAGACCTATTTACAGCAGCTCCTTCCACTTGGTGCATCTTGTCTGGCTTTCAAGGAAAAACAAGGCACCACAAGACAACAAACAGATTGAAGAGACAGGAGCAAACACTGACACCACCAGATGCTAGTGAGGACGTGGAGCAGCAGGAACGCTCACTCACTGCTGGGGGGAATGTGACGTGGTACAACTACTCTGCAAGACAGTTTCTTACAAGACTGAACACATCTTCACCTTAAAATCAGCAGTCATGCTCCTTGGTTATTACCCAAAGGAACTGGACACGTAACATGCACACAAAAACCCGCACACGGATATTTAAAGGAGCTTTATTTGTAACTGGCCTGGTGCATGAATTTGTGTACCACTGGGGTCCCTCGGCCTGGCCTGCAGGATTGGGCTGAAACTGGCTCTCCGACATCCCCTGAGAGGTCCCAGATTGTGAGAGGGTACAAGCCAGGCTGAGGGACCCCACTGGTGAATAATCAGCCAGGGGGGGACTGTGGGAGGGCTCCGGGGCATGTCCTGCCTCTCTCCCGCAGTCCTGATCGGCCAGACCCCAGCAGCAAGCTAACCTACCAGTCAGAGCATCTGCCCCCTGGCAATCAGTGCATGTCATAGTGAGCGGTTGAGTGGCCTGAGCAATATCATTAGCATATTATGCTTTGATTGGTTGAACGGACAACTGGACACAGTATATTAGGCTTTTATTATGTAGGATTGTCAAATCTTAATGTATTTCAGTTTCTGACTTCAAATCTCTGAGGCAAAGATGGACCTTTAGTACGTACACACCAGTGGAAAAGATAAAAGTAGCCCTACTCCTCACACTGTACAAAATCCAAAGCCAAACGAGTGACAGGTCTTCATGTAAAAAAGAATCTACAGAAACATGGAGACAAGATGAGGCTGAACTCCTGTGGGGAACCTCCCAACTGCGCTGCTGGAAAAAGGACTCATAAACATGAAAACCTCAAGCTGAGAACATCTGTAGAGTCAGAAGACAAACGGGGAAACTACTTCAACACACACTGCAGTAGTGGGTGGACACCCTACGATGAAGAATTGTAGAATGAAAAGGAAAATGACCAACAGTCCAAAGGAGAATGGACAAGAGATGTGAACCATTTACTGAAAAGAGAGTCCTTAAAGCTGTAGGACACCAACTACAACCCCCAGGGGAGGAAGAGCAGATCTATTATGAGACCCCACCACACACCTCACAGACTGGCAGCTTGATGGGGCTTAATTGACCCTTTCGGTCTCAGGCTGCTCCATGAAGAGGAATTTGGCAAGACTGAGCCAAGCTAACACACAATGACCATGATCCAGTACCTCACCTCTAGGAACTTACCTTGAAAATGCCCCTTAAGCCATATGAAAGTACAAGTGCATATGGGTAGTTGAAGCAGCATCATTTGAAGTTTGAAAATATTGGCAACCGCCTAAATGCCCACATAGGAGATTGAAGAAATGAGCGTCCACATACACAGGGTAACAGTGTGACTCAATCACAAAGGCCCCTCCAGGGAGAGGCAGAGTGACTCCAAGTGCTCAGGAGAGCAGGTACAGAATGCCACCCTGCATTAAGGGAGCTTTTGCTGACCTTCACAGAAGCCCAGGGCAGCCAAGGAAACCAGGGCATTAGAGACAGGAAATGGAGGGAGTGACATCCCTGCACAGACCTTGGCCATGACCGACTGACTGGAAAGAATGGGAAGTCAGACGCCAAGATGAAAGCAAGCGGAAAACATGAACCCAAAGATAAATAAGATGAAAAGCACACCACCATCCAGGGGACTAATCCAGGACAGTGTTTGACCTTGAACCCCAGTCATGGGTACTAGAGTGAAGGTTGCAAAAAGCTGAGCTTTGTTCCACGGGTTTGTTTCCGTAGTCGTATGGCAAAGCGATTCCAAAGCTAGTTACCCTGCTGAGCAAACGCCTGCTATTGCTGGGGTCAGGGTCTCACGGTGGGAGCCAGGACAGGTGTGGACGGCAGGAGACAAACACAAGCCCATGTACTGGTGGGATTGGAGGTGTCAGCACACACCATTTCTCGTTCACGTGTGTGCGTGTGTGTGTGTGTGTGCGCACATGTGTGTGTGCGCGCACACGCAGCACCCCTAGCCTGCCTATGCCGGTGCACGGAAGGGACCTAGAAGCAGACGTACCGATAGCAGTGAGCACATTTGTACCAGATCTTGGTTTGTAAAACCATTCCCTGCCAAAAGGTGCCCTCAGAGAAATGGCTGGTTCCAGGGTGTGGACAGAGGCCTAGAAGAGCGAGAGTGCACACCTTATGCCAAGAAGTAGGACAGTGCTCCAGAAGTTAACATGATGGGGCATGTGTCGGTCTGACGACCCCATGGAGTGAATCCTGCACAATCTGAACACAAGATAAGTAGATGGGGTGACTCTCGGACCACCAGGCCCAGCAGCAACTCAGACACACATGCCAATAATTGACAAATATTTGAATGCTGAGAAATTACCTATGAGTGACAAATGCCAATCATAGATAAATAACAAGTACTGATGACAAACTGATAAATGGGGGCAGGCAAGAACTCACACACATACAGTGTCCAGTGCTGACTGGCAGGTGTGGAGGCCCTGCAGACTGCTGGCTGCGTGGTCAGCAGTCGCCAAGTGTGGCACAGCTGCAGGAGGTCCTGGTCTGAGGGTCTGCAGTCTGCCAGTCAGTTGCTGTGGAGCAAACAGTGACTGCAAGGTGTCCTTCCTACACACCAGAGTTTTCAGAGGTCCAGGCCATGCGATAGGCAAGTCACTCTCGAATGCTCACTTAAGTCACATGTGTGTGCAAGTGGTATGTGTGTGCACACATGTGCAACGACACCCTTCTTTGTATTAACTTCAGTGTCAGACACACTTTGGCTACTTAATAAATGTGGTTCAGTAAAGCATAAATGTGCCCAGT